TTCAATAAGTGTGCTTTAACAAATAGTGCTGAAAATATGTCCAAAGCAATTTTGAGAGGACTTTACATGGGTACAATCTCTGACAGAGGAGTTTTCAACTTGGATATTATAAATGTACATAGACATATGTCTAGTGATTCCATTTGTTATGTTTAATCTCACTCATAGACATAAAATGAACATCATAGTCATTTTTAGGTAGTTCTGTGCAATGTTCTATAATTTACGGTGAAAGTTCAGAATTATATTTTGTGGATAGTGATAAATAATTGATACCAAAATAGTACACATCAAATACATGTAAACTTATATCAGTTACTTCCATATTGGACAATATCAAAATATCTTAATATTTTGTGACCTGTAGGTGGAGAAATTACATTCTTGGTAATTTAGTATTTGAAAATGCTATCTAGTATTTGAAAATATATCAATAATGTTACATAAAATAATTTTGATAACTATAATTTCCACTTTAATACATATTTAAATTTAATATACTTCTTAATATATATTTGAATTAATAGCAGGAGATTGTTTTTGACACCAACACATCACACTAGTGAGCCATAACAACTTACTTTTCATTTAGTCTTAATGAGAAGTGAAAATTTTAGGACAACATTTTTATTTGGAAGTTTGAGTAAGATGATGAGTCAGTAACCAGATCATATAACACCACAGAACCATTAACTATGTTCACCATTAAATATGGAATTAAATGTTTTTCCACTATGTTCCTTATCAAAACTCTTAGCTTATAGAAATGGCTGTTCTAACAATCAATTATTTTAAAAGTTCTCCTTCCTTCTTTCCTTCATAGCTTCCTCCTTCCTCCCTTCCTTCTTTCATTCTTTTCATCTATCTATCACCTATCCATCCATTGTCTATCTATTAGAATAATAGATATGGTTGTGCCATACATTTGAACAAAGCAACAAAATGAAATTTTTATTTGTCAATACTGAATATAAACATCTAGAATAAAGAAGGTATTTAATAATAAATATTGGTTTAGCAAATTAAAAAAAAAGCAAAGAATTTCCTATAAATGCAGTTCTATAGTGTTTTGGCACTATTCTATATTCAGTTAACATTGAGAAGAGAATCTGGCATCTTACTAGACCTGCGGAAAATCATCACCTCCGTGAAGTCTTCCGTCACACTCAAATAGATGTTATTTCAATTTATTATATTCCATACCACTGTCTACCAATAGCCTGATTAATAGTGGTCATTTTTATCAGGAGCTTCTGCATGTCTTTTATTTCCATCTTCTCACTATAGATTATAAAGGACTTTCAGAAAATTGTGTAAACTTTCTGCTCTTTCACAAGCTCCATTTTATGTATTATATGAGCTTGGGGCATTGATCAAATTCATTTTCTCTTTATTTATTTACCTATATGTATGTATATTTAGATACCCTATATGAATCTTACCAGTTTTTGTAAGAATGTAAGCAGAGGTAGAGATGTTCAGGTGACCTCTTTCTTCACAAGGTTATTTGGTACCCTTTAGTCTAATGAGAATTTTAAAAGTGCTTCTAATATTCTTTCTAAATATCTAGACCGCAGTTCCTTTGAACTCAGATTGAAGCTTAGGTTCTTATCTGCACGCCTGCAGTCAGGCTAACACAGTTTCAGATTCCTCACTTTCTGAAATCCACCCTCACACAGGATTTTGACTGGGAAATACTTCTTTCTTGCCTTCCCTGTAGGAGTATTTAATTATGAATGATGTAAAATAGGGAGTCTAGGGAAGGTCACTCCCTAAAGTGTCCCTTCCCTTCCAATTAACAATCACGAGACAGAATTGATAAAAATCTCAATCTTCAATTTGTCTTATTACATCATGAAAAAGAAAGACTCCCAACCCCTCCAATTAAAGGTATTTATACCGATCATAATGATGTTTTTTTGAATAAAATAAAGACAATGATTACATAATGTTGAGGCCATGGTTTCAAATACCATTTTTCTGGTGACACGAATCTGAGTTTCTGGAAAAAATAGCTGATTCTAAATCTGGATCAGGCAATGTTCAACATATACTGGAAAATTTGCAGTGCTAAAATAGTAGGGAATTGCTAACACACACACACATACACACACACACACTTCATGTGATGAGGACATGCCAAATGTACTCATGCGCACAGTGAAAGTGCACAATACCCAAAGCTCAAAAAAGAAGTTGTGACAAGATAAATCGTACAGAATTGAAATATTACCTCAGGTAATAAAGCTATATATCCATGACTTATAATGACAAAAATAATTTAAAGTTACTTCATATTCAGGAGAGTATAGGGGAAACAACTATCTTTCAAAAGATTATTTGATCAACATACATTCTGCATATCACAGGCACCAGAAGTCATCTCATAGTTCACCATCCTTTAATAGCCTTGCCTTGTTCTCCTTCTTTCAGTCTTCATGAAATAATTTCAAATATTAGGTACGTTTGTCATTCTAAAACTAACGTATAACAGTTTCACTCACTATCATAAAAGATTTTTACTATTTTCTCTATTGTACTTAGCTTTGAGCTTTATAGATTAGAAGAGAGCCTTCCCCATCATCGCCGTTAATATTGCTCCAGTTTCATGTTTTATTATTATTTTAATTTTTTAAAGGTTTATTTATTTATTCACAGAAAGTTGGGGTACCGGCCAGAGGTGCAGTGGCAGTGAGAGGTTTCATCAGAGACAGAGTGAGGAACAGAACAGGCAGACTGACGAATTACCCTGTTGAGGGGAGCAGTGGGAAGGTCAGGAGAGGTCTGCCATGCCATGTGGGTCACCTCTGGGGATGGGGATTGAACTCGCACTGAAGCGGCTGTGGCCAGATTGCAGTGTTGTGCCCTAACCCGTTGTGCCACCAGGGAGGGCCCTCATATTTTATTATTTAGGCTTTTACCAATATAATGTTTGCCAAGCTTTCCAAAATTCAGTGGTTCAACAAGTAGCTAATGAATTAATAGATGAGAATTCACAGTCATATTAAATTGATCAAATTTCTGTTTCTATTCTTACAACTCTTGGTTTTTTTGTGATATTTTAACTTCTTCCAGTATGCCCCTATTCTCACTCATGCCTATTCACTTTATGACATCTTTGTGTGCCATTTTTTTGGTGTCTTTTACATAGGAAGCCTCTTTTCACCCTTCAAATAACTGTTGCATATCCCTCAAACATGTCTTTATAGGATTCAGAGTTTCCATAATCTTATTGTTTTCAACAGTGGCTTTTCATTTTTTGTCCCCTCCTGTGATTTCTCAATAGATTTTAAGAACTGGGAAGGGAGCTCCTGGTTTGTTTGTTTATCACTGAGGCACAACAAGTATCAACATGTCTGCTATATTTCTTAGATGTCAAAATTTTTGATAGTATTTACTCAAGTACAGATGACATGAGTGAGATATATTTGTTAGGAGATTGTGTGTAGATGGAGTGACACATTTTATTTGATTTTTTTAAAGGTCTAATTTATTTACGTATAGAAGAACTGATGTATAAGCCAGAGGGGCGAACAGAACAGTCAGAGCTGAGAAGAGCAGTACACAAGACAGGAGAGAGATCTGCTGAGCCATGTGGGTTAATTCACTGGCCAGGGAATGGATTTAATCCATAGCAGTGATAATGTAAGGAAACCTCTAGTTCACAACGGAAACCACTTATCTTAATAAGTGGTTTTATTAATGAAATTTTAGCACAGTATATATGAACAGAGAAATGAGACATAAATGGTTCATATTCTCATAACAAAACTTGCTGAGAGTAGAGTGTCATAGTTATTCTATGATCATTAATTTGAGATCTATATTTCAATTTTTGAAAATTAAAGTTTAAGCAGAAATTGAAACAAAATATATTTCATTTAGGAAATGTTCCTTTACTATTCTTCAAATTTTGCATTGTTTAAGGAGAGAAAAAATTGCTTAACTTCTATACCCTTTATAGTTCTACATCTACTGAACTTACTCATCTTCTTTTACACTTTTCATGCATTCAGTAATTGTCATCAACTAGATATTATTCTGCTATGTAAAGCTTATAAGCATATATTTTATAAATTTTGGCAGTTTACAAATGGTAAATTCTTCTTGACAATAGAAAATATATAAATTCACATACATACGTACATACATACATGAAGCCTAAGGGGGAAACATGTGCAGTGCTTAATGGTTTTAAAATCTATAAGGAGATTTGGAAATGTGGTTTAGTTACTATCATTTATCATTAGGTGTTCAGTGACCTATTTGCTTAAGGCCAATATGCAATAATATGTCATAATGTTACAGAACGAATATCACTATTATTTATGACATGTAGAAATAAGCAGTTAGTATATCAAATGATCAAAATTGAGTTATTGTTAATATATGCACAATCTGCCCAACAGTATTATTGTCTCAATAAATGACATCTAGTAGAGTTGACTTTCCTTTCTATTATCACTGTCTGTATGCACTTAGCAGTTAAGTATAGAGCCTGAGGAGTTAAATGGGTTATGATCTCTGAATATATCTGCTATAGTAATCTCCCCCATTTTGTCAGTTCCTCCATTTGCAAAATAGGGATAATGGAAGTCCTCAATTTCCTTGGATTATTAACTGATTACTCTTTAATAGCAATATTTATTATTATTTCTTACATGCTTTATTAAGAGATGATTATGAATCATATTCATGAGTGGAAGAGGCAAAATCAATATTTAATTAGTTATAATTTTCCAAATATATAGTGACTGGTCACAGACAAAATTTCTTGCACTTGTGGTTCATTAATATAAAATTGAGATTCAGCAGCTAATTTTATCTTAACCCTTATAACTGTTTTTTACTGTTTTTTAACTGTAAACTTAGTTAAATCAATGTCTCAGAACAAAGTAGGGAAAATAAGAGCACTATTTTGGAATAATAGGAACAACCAGTTAAACATAGTATCCTAGTCAGTTGAACCATGAGTCAAAGTAGTAATTGAGGCCCTTAACTCATCTGTGCCTTTCTGAAGAGATTTTGCTTTGCCATAACATTCTCATGGCAGTTTTCACTTCTGCATTCCTCAGTGTATAGATGAGTGGGTTGAGAAAGGGTGTTCCAATGGTATAAAATACTGTCACCATCTTGTCCATGGGGAATGTCGTTGGGGGGCGTGTATATATGAATATACAAGGACCAAAGAATATGATCACTACAATGATGTGGGAAGTGCAGGTGGAGAGAGCTTTTTTCCTGCCTTCTGCGCTGTGGTTCCTCAGTGAATTCAAGATAACAATGTATGAGATCATCAGAATCACAAAACTGCTTGTGCAAATAACTCCACTATTAGACACCAACAGCAAGTTAATCACAAAAGTGTCCATGCATGCGAGTTTCAGCAAGGGCTGAAGATCACAGCAATAGTGATCAATCAGATTGGGTCCACAGAATGGCAGTCTCAAGGCCATAATGATCTGAGTTATAGAATGCATGAAAGACCCTATCCAGGCAAAAATAATCAGGATGATACAGACCTCTTGCCGCATGATGGTTGGGTAACGCAAGGGTTTACAGATGGCCACATAGCGATCAACTGCCATAAGGATGAGAACAAAGATTTCCATGGCACCAAAGAAATGTAGTGCAAAGATTTGAGTCATGCACTCATTATAAGATATGGTATTTTTAGAAGAGAGAGCATCTACAATGAGTCTTGGTGCTGTGGATGTTGAAAAGCAGGAATCAGCAAGGGACAAATAGAATAAGAAGAAGTACATGGGGCTTCCAAGTGTCCGGCTGAACTTGATGGTCACAATGATCATCAAATTGCCCATGACTGTTCCCACATAGAAAATGAAGAAGATTACAAACACCATTTTCTGTCTCACAGGGTCTTGTGTCAGTCCTAACAGGATAAACTCGGTGACACTGTTATTTGGCTGCATTGTTTCAGCTCACAACAAGAACGATCAGGTTAGTAATAATCTGTAAAGAAAAAATTGAAAATAATTCTACAGTGAATCCCTAGTAATTAGTTCAGTCATTCATGAGACTTAATTTAATTACCTTTGCTTAGTTTCCTTTTAGTTTATCTTTGCTGCATTTCCACTTGTTTGAAATTCTAAATCCAACATCTATCACTAATTTTTGTGTTTTTAAAATTATCTTATGCTGTTGAAAATTAATTTTTTCCCTTATTCATTTTTTCTAGGTTGACATACCAGAGAAGATATATAACACTAAAATGAAAAAAACCTAGAGTGAAAACATTTGCTATAGAATATAATATTCTTCCAGTATTATATGGGATTTAGAAAATGACTTCAAAAATGTCAACTCATAGCAAAATATTTCAATGAATTCCTGGGATATTTTTGAATATTTTTTTTGTCCCCTGATTTAAGTAAAAAAGATAAATATTGAAATGAATTAATATTTATTCATATATACATATATAAAATAGGTGAGTTAATTTTGTTCTCCATTATGAATATTCTCCAAATGTAGGTCTTTAAGTAAAACCATAATGCCAAATTGATATAAAAACACAGTTGCATGCTGGTCAAAGTTATATTTCCTTATGTGAATGGATTTTAATAACTGATATTTAAAAAGAAGCACAAATGCATAATAGGCTAAAATGAATGAATCTGATTTCCGAAGAAACCCTCCCATTAAAAATAATTAATGGAGGGAGCTGGAAGGGATTATGCTCCTTGAAATAAGCCAGAAAGTCAAAGAAAAATATCAAATGATTTCACTTACAGGAGGATAGGAGGAAAGTAG